CCTCGCCCCCGGCGGAGCCCGCCCCCGCCCCCGGGGTCCGGACAGCCCCAGGGCGCGGCGGGGCTGGGGGCGCCTGCGCTTGTGAAGCCGGGACGCAGGGACAGGCCTGGGGCAGGGTGGGGCCATGGACCGGGGGAGCCCTGAACATCTCTCGCGGGCCCCTGGCCCCCTTGGGTACTGGGTCTTCCTGGTCAGTCAGGAGATTGCCAAGGGGCGGAGGGGAGCCGTGTGTGACCCCCACTTGGGAAGCGCTGCCCAGGGGTGGCTGCGATAGGGACTTTACAGCACTGACCTTTTACCTCTCTGCTGTGGTGTTCAAATACATACTTTGAGATTTGCTTTTTACCGTGGCCTCCTTCCACCTTCAGCACCCACTGGAGAAGCTTTCGCAGATGCTGCCAGGACTTGGAAAGCCTGGCTGTGTTCTGTGAATGGCTGAAGTTTTCAGAATAGCTCAGCTGTGTCAGAGAGACTACCAGGCCCCTTCTAGGGCAGCTGTTCTCATCCTTTTAGGCTTGCGGCACCACCTTGCCGGACTCGAGGTGTCCTTCCTTCAGAAAGTGGCAGCTCTTACTTTTCCCTTGTGTTTTGGTGACAGAAACATGGCAGAGCTATTCTTCTGTTGCAGAGAACTCAGCAAGGCTGCAACAGGCCTGAAAACTATTCACCTTGTGGATTCCTATTTGAAATCTCTGGGTATACCTTGTGAATCACGTTTGCACACCCAACAGTGCTAATGTTGTGTGGCAACCGTGAAGGGACCTCAAGGCACCCAAAGGTGCTGTGGCAACCTTGTTGAGAGTCACTTCCCTAAGGAATGGCCTCCAGGAACCTGTGGTATTCACTGTGAGCAAAATACACAACTGGCACTGCGAGACTTCAGAGAGGTTTTTAATTTCTTATCCCTTATTTGGGTGAATTATTTCAGTGTAGGTTTTTTTTGCTGCCAGTAAAACTTGACAGTTGGCCGTCAGGGTTTCCCTAGAAAGGCCCTTTCCGCCCTGTAGCGTGAGATCCTTAGTGATCTAAGCCAGGAACAAACCGAGCTATTGCGCAATGAGTTATTTCCCTGGGGCTGCTTTGTTATTGGACTTACCCTTTCAAAGTGCTTTCTGAAATGTTTAAGCCAGGAAATTCTGCTCTAGACCACAAAGGATGAAAGAGAGGTTGGAAGCTTATGGTCTCTGTTAATACACATCAGTTTTCAGTAGTAAAAATTGGTCTTTTGGCTGTCTTTTTGCCAACTTTTTTTATCTACCTCTGATGTATATAGATCACGGTAGTCTCTCTCTCTGCAAAACTAGTCTCTTCAAGTGCATGAAAGGATATGCCAAGTATCTAAACAATCTAGAAGTAGATCAGGGGTGTCAAACTCATTCAGCATCTGTGGGCTGGATGAGTGGCACAGGGCCAATCCGTGGGCCAGACAGAGCCCATGGACACCCTACCCTCCTTCCTGCCACAACATGCCAGATCTGGCACCTGTTCCAGCCAGTCTGAGACCTGTGCTAGGTCCTGGGTGGATCCTGGAGCAGCCAAAACAGCTGCTGCCTGCAGTGCAGTCCAGTTGGGGGTATGTAGCACAGATCTCAGTCTAGCCAGATCGGGCACTCTGCTGCATGCCATGGCCTCACGTGATACCCACTGGTAGCTGTGTTACATATGGTGCCTGCTCCAGTTGATCTGGGATCCAGTGCAGGTCGTAGAGTGTCTGGAACAGGGGCCATGTGCAGCACAGTCCTGGGGCTGCCGGGGCAGGCATCGTGTATGGTGCACATCCCAGAGCAGGCACTGCATGGTGCACAGTCCATCCAGGGCAGGTACCACATGTAGGGGCAGCACCCACTCTGGCCAGTCTGGGATTCATGTTATAGGCCCCTGGCCAGGCTGCGCCTTATACAGCGCCCATTTTAGATGCTCTGTGTGTACTCACCATGTGTACACCACCATGCCATGTGTACCCACCAAGTGGTACAGTCCCAGAGTGGTCAGGGTAGGAGCCACATGTGGTGCACATCCCAGGCCCTACCTGCCTGCTCAGACCCAGGGGAGCACCAGGAGCCAGATTGTGGGGCTCTGTGGCCCAGATCCAGTCTGTGGTCCACATTTTTAAACCCCTGAACTGGAGGAAGTGATTCTCAGTCAGTTTACTACTTTTTGAAAGCTGCAGTAATTGAACGGGTAGAGTGAATAACTGAAAATAAACTGATTTGTGCTCCATTTTCATGTTTAACTTTTTGGGTACCTATACATGTGCCCAGTGGTTGCTCCAACACATTCTAATTGAAATGCTCCAACAGCCGTGGTACTGCATGTATTCGGTGTCTCCATGTTTCAAAATGGCAGTGGGGGCACTTTAACTAAAGCTGGTCAAATAAGCTTTAGTTTAAGTGCCCCTGCCACCAATTTGAAGTGTGGGATGCTGAATACACAAGACACCACAGGCGTTTTAACCGGAGTGGCTCCTGAGGAGTTCTTTGGGAGCTTCTCTGATTAAAAAGCCCTTCTCCCCCTTCTGGAGAATGTGTAAAAATGCCCTTTCTTTTTCTCAAAGAAAAAGGGTCAAGTGGGAAGAGCTTTCATTTCAAATATTAGGTTCAGCTTTTAGGTTCATTCTGATCTTGGTGATACAGGCTGTTCACATACAAACACCTATATATATATATATATATATATAGCAATCAGCTCTTTAGAAAGGCTTTACTACGTGTTTCTCAGGTGTAAAGTAACATATCCCTTTTCTGGTGAGAACATATAATCACACAGTGTCAAATAACAAATTTACACCAATACTTCACAAATCTGCTTTCCCACTTTTGACCTATCTCTGTCAATTCAATGCTACCACTTTTTCCTCTGTCTGTACAGATCATCTTTCTTTCTGTGTACCTTCACTACTGCAACCATCTCACCTCTGGCCTTGTTTCTGACACCCACCTTATCCCATGACTTCATTGCAAAATGTTGCTGCTAAGGTTATTTGCCTGGTGTACTCTGATCGTATCAGCTCCCCTGTGAATTCCTTAAAATCTACCCAGTTCACAACAACACATTTGAGGTCTTTTTAGTTCTGTTTTTAATTCGTTTGACACCTCTGCCTCCCGCTATATATATATCCTTTTGTTTGCATCATCCCTCATGCCCTTTCCCCCACCTGGAGTGCAAAGCCACTGTCTTCTTCTCCTGAAGACCCTTTGGGTGTTTAGGTCTTTTAAGGATTATCACATTTTACAAGGTAGTCAAACCTAATACTCAGATTTTTTTAAATGGAAAATTCTGATGTCTTTTTCCATATAATAGTTCCAGAAGCCAGCAGTCCCCAAGGTAGGGGCCATTAGATATTGTAAGCCCATGTTTTGGATGAGAGACAAACTAGTGCAGGCTACTTGTGACTTTTGCTTCATTAAGGGCCGGGTAACAAAAATAATTTCAAAAGTGAACATAGTGAGTTGCCCAGAATGGAATAGAACCAGGCAAGTTGCATCCCTCTGGTAGAAACCCTACAAGAGAGTGACAGTATTGCCACCTGCATTGTTCCTAGAAGAAATGTTTCCTTTGGTGCTGGTGTCATTTTAGGAGCAGAGTACAATTTTTACCTTTGTTGAAGGTGACAAAACTGGTTATTTTTTGTTCCAGATACTAAATAGCACCTGATGGTTGAAAAGGTTCAGTGAAGGAAGGGGTGTCAATATGGTTTGAAGCAAGTGTCAATATGCTTTAACTGACATTTCAAAAACAAGATAAAGGAAAATTACAAGACTGCTTGTGACAGTCTTCCTCTGAATACCCATGGCCTTCCTTGATAATATTGTAATGGTGAGGGATATCACCTGTAGCTTTGTAAAATGTCCATATGTGCTCAACATGTCACTGACTTTTAAACATCATGATGGAAGTGCAGAAAAAGAGTACCCTTTCCAACACAGTGAGTAAAGCTGTGGTATGTACCAGTAGTTAACAATGAAGACAAGGATAAGACCAGTAATAGTGTTTAAATGCCTTGACTAATATTAGAGCATCTATGTTGAGGAATCCTTATTGGTTCTTTAATCCCCACCCTCCAGCAAAGCTTCCTTAACAATCTAAGGTGCAATTGTCATACTCTTCATTGCCTTGAAAAATTTACCCAGGAACTGAACAAATTACTTGTAACACTGATGAATTTTACTTGCCAAATGAATAGCTTTATCTAATATCTTCACACTAGTTCACTTCTTCATCCACTGACTGATGAAGAAGACTGACAATCTGTCTGCCAGCTGTGTATGACATTCACTAAATAAATGAGAGTTTTTTTGATTCAATGAAAAGGGGCCATCTCATGCAGTCCCTTGACAATGAGGTCTTGCATCTCTGGTTTGAATGAGGAATTTGGTAGTGTGTGTTGAAGGGCTGATGTCAAAATTAGAACAAGACTGTTTCTAAAAAAATAGACAAATGTGACAGGAAGTGGAGGAGGAAAGAGGAAACAACTCTAAGGAACTTGGACACAAACTTTAGTAGTGGTCATTAATTTTGTGCGTCTCAGTTTCAGTGCATTGATTTGAGACCGAGCTCTTGTCTACATGAAGAGCTTTTAAATAGAGACAGAGAAAATGGTTTAGTTAAACAATTGGATAATGTAGCATAGTCTAATGTGATTAACTGTTGTTATTGGTTTAATTAAAATGATGGTAAAATACTACCATTGCGGGGTGCCACAGGCCCCCTCACATCCCCTGCTCCCTTGCAGCTCCCTGCCATTGCCACAGAGTTTTGGAAATACTTCAGCTCCCACCAGTTCAGGGTGGTGAGAACTTTTTTGGTAAATATCTGTAACAGACATTCTGTATTCAGCCTTGTAAATATAGTGGTAGGATCTCAGCATAACTGAAATAAATGGAAGTGTGAGTTTTAAGTACCTCTGAAAATCTGGCTTAAAGAAGTTCAGATTTATCATGTAAAACCAGAGAAGACTTTTGGCCTGACTGGCTTGTTTGAAGAATATTTTGGGGATGCCAATCTGGAAGGAAAAGAGAACACTGAATGTAAGCAAAGAGCAGCTGGATAATCTCACATGCATAGAAGAACTATGGACATTATTATTGTATTGTGTGGGAGGTTTGTGTACATTTCCCACCAATTTTGCAATAGCCAAAATAACTGGTTCCTTATCCCTTGCCTTGTTTGAAGAAGTAGGAAAAATATAATATTTAGTCCAAAATAACAATGGAATAGTCCTCTCACAGCTTCAAATCTGTTTTCCTTTACTGATGGGTCATTTCCCTTTAGGATTTATCAGAATTAGAATATTTACTGTGTGTCAGTGCTGCTTTTGTGTTCCTGCTTGAAATCAAGTCAGCAGCATGGGGAACATTTTCACTTTCTGGCTTTTCTGATACCTCTCAGATGCACTATTATGATGGCCTGGTTGTAGGAGAAACAGCTGATGTAGAAGTAGATGCAAGAAATGTAATTTGTTCATCTAAAATAGCTTATCTGGAATTACAAAATGTGTTCCAGTGATGATTACCTAATTTTATATTAGTGCTGGTCCTTCAACAGGAATCTGTAGAAGCTCAGAATTGCTGCAAGAACTTTGAGTTGTGCTGTTTCTAACCTGTTGTCCAACAGGTGGCTTGTGGCCCACGTGAAGCCCACAAGGAGTTGTAAAGTACGGTCCACAGGTTCCCAGCTGCCATTGCCCCTGGTTGCTTCTGCAGTAGCAG